GGCCCAGCGCCTCGCGGCTCTGAGGACGAGGTTTGGAGGTGGGTCACAAGCGCAGCCCAGCGCCGCGGCTGAGCGGGACCGTCCCGCTGCCGCTCTCGACGACCCGCGGTCCCGCCTGGGCCACTCACCGCCGAGGGCCGGCCATCCTGGCCGTGGTGCTGGTTGCCTTCCAGCTGCCGCACGTACTCCTGCAGGTGCTGGTTCTTCTTCAGCTCCTGGATCAGGGTTTGTTCGTAGTATTCCCTCTTGCTCTGAAAGGGGGGGTGCTGCTGAGATGGGGCCGCAGCGACGCTCCAGGCTCCCCGCGTGCAAAACGGGGCCGAGCAGGCTGCCCTGCTTCATGCGGGGCTTTGCAATCTGCCGTTGCAACGCGTGGGGATGCTTCTTTCTGCGGGCTTTGACTTTGGGTCTCCCAAGAGCTCTGTTCCCCGCTTGGGAGTGCTTTGCGGTGAGCAGCGCTTCCACCCACCCTGGGAAATTCAGAAGTGGAAGTGGGTAGAGCAGGCTTAAAATCTGACCCAGGCTTTACGCCCCACTCCCACGGCTCAGCAGAGGCCTGGTAAATTCATTTCACTGAAGAATGAAAGCAGGCAAGGAAACGGGGTGCTCTGGGACTGAGATCGGTCTCCCTAGCACGCAGCAGCTCAAGGGAACCGTCAAGCACCGGGCCACTAGGCTTCTCCCCTGTGCAATGGCTCTGATTTGGGGTACTCTGGCTGGAGCAGGGCTCAGCTAGGAAGGACAAGAGCCTTGGTGGAGAGCCAACACTTCACGGCCGAGCACCCCAGGGTTGGGCTGGGGGACGACGGCACCCTGCACCCATCGTTGCTGGGAGGGCCCCAGGGCCAGGCTGTGCAGGGCCTGGGGCACCGTGCACTCACGGCTCCATCTGGGACCCAGCCGCCCCGGGGCCGGGCATGCACCTCACGCACCTGCTCGTGGTCCAGCTTCATGGTGAGCCTCTCCATCTGCTGCCTGAGGGTCAGCATCTCCTGCTGCAGGGCCCGCACCTTCTGCTGCAGCCCCAGCGTGGTGGTGTGGTAGATCTGGTCCCACTCCTGGTTGAGCTTCATGAGCTGGGGGAGAGCGGGGAGGTAGCAGTGAGCAGGGGGGGCCGCATGCCCCTTCCCACAGGGACCAAGGAGGTCAGAGCAGCCCCGAGGACACGAGGAAGAGCTCATCCCTTTGCACCATGGCATAGAGCCCTGGGACAAGGCCGTATTGAGCATTTTCCCTGGGGCTGTCCTGGCACGTCAGGGCTCTGGAGCGAGACTGGCGGCCCCGGCTCCCCGTTGCAAAACCTGCCGCCCAGGCAAAGCTTTGGGCTTCTCCTCAGGAAGGTCTCAGGTCCTTGCCCACGGGGACCCCCTGTCGTGGCCATGGGATCGGCGGCTCAGGGGCTGCCCAGGA